TTAGTCGATTTAGGCGCATTGATTTGGAATAATTAAGGGTGATCCTGACATCTACTAGGAGTCTAGGTGAAAGTCTGTGTAATTAGTCATGTTGAATGCTTGATAATTGTATATAAGAATCATGGAGTCACAATGAAACAAGAGATACACTCCTATATATTTTACCTTTCCTGTTGGTTTCCTTTAATACAACAGCAGATTTCGCTTTTATGCATGGTTTACTCCGTTGATTCTCACTTAAACACACAATTTTCTCTTTTTATAATCACAAGAAAAACACACACACTACTACTCCACATGCACACACCCCTACACAAATTTACTGCCACCATCAATATCTTCTTCTAGCAGAGTGTTTACTAAGATCACGAATTTATTTTTTGCAAAAACCCACATTGTGCCACCTTACCTGAAAAACTTTTTTACAAACATTAATTGGTGGTGTATTAGCAAACGATATATATATCGGTTTACGATGCATTGCCACTCGAAATTTACTCCTTAAACCTTTTAATATTAAAAAAACAAATCTTAATGTACAGCCACATATAAGGTGAATATTGGCCTATAACTAAAAGATAGATAACATATTTCATAAGAAATATATATTTTTTATTTTAAATAATATTATAATATATTTTCTTTTTTATATGTAGTAAATTACAAGTATTCAACTAGTTTATATGAAAAGTACACTTGCGTGCGCGTGAACGTAGGCATAAAAAATTAGAAACTTGGTGAATGGAGCCATACACTCGCATCACAAGTCCATCACGTACGACATCCGAGATGCTTTACAAAACTACAAATAGTATGACTAAACTATTGAAAAGCTACAGATAAATTTATTGAGCTTATCACGAAACTATAGATTTAAGACATACTATCCCAAAATTACATATTTAGCACTAAATCTATCATAAAACTATAGTTTTGCGATACTCTATTCTAAATCTATGTAATTTCGTCATAAATTTTGTATTAATAAATTTATAATTCAGTTATTAAGAATGTATCTTTACTGTTGATCAAAATATATTGTTTTGTGAAATTTACTCATTTTTTATCATAAAATGTTGGATGAACTTAAATAATTTCAATATAATATAATCGTTTTGATATTATCATTCTATTGCTATTGTGCCATTCTATAATTCTCACCCCAAAAATTTATATATATGTGGATTATTAATTGTACGGTGTGATATATTAATCAAAACTAGTTGACGTGGTAGGCGACATACCCGTCGACAGCGAGGCGCCTATGATAACTTCGTCAATCTCCAGGATTTGCCGTCCCAATCTTTGAAGATGCTCATAGGGGTAGAATTTGCATGCGTGCGTTTATAGGGGTGAGTGTGCATGTGTTGTAAGTGTCTGCGTTGTACTGTGTAATTATAATAGAAAATATTAATCAAAACTAGTTAACCTATTAGTTTATCCGTGTGCATCTAACATGCAAATATCACGCAGCCAGCAAGCTGGCCGTCTAGTCTTTATGTTAACGTAATGGCTTGACGTTGGACTTGATCAACAATATCAAAAAGGTCAGCATATACGAGCCGTGGCCACAGAATGCATTATATAATTTGAATTGTTTCAGTACGGTACATTATATAAATGAATTAATTAATTATTAGAAATTTGATGAATTAATTTGAAAAAAAATAAGAAATTCCAACGAAGAATTTTTTTGATAAAATTGTATTATTTCAGGAGTTTCGGAACCATACTTTCAACAATCCATAATCCATAAGCTATAAACAACGCACCCTTAATTCACAGCAGATTATCCCGCACATAAGTACTCGATCCTACTGTAAAACCATACCGTAAAACTTCTTCACATTAAAAGAATTGGGTAACGATACAGTACCGTTGCCCAATCATCGTTAGCCAATTATCTCTCAATCATCGTTAGCCAATTCTTTTATTTCACTTTTAGATGACGTAGTAACAACCAATGTCGTGCTTAAATGTATGTGATTTTGGATTTTTTTTTTCAGTTGAAACTTTTCTAGAGGGAGTTAAGGGGTTTCTCCCATCACTTATGTCTCTATTTTTTTATCAGAACTCAATAGTTGTGTGTCTAATGGCTGTGGCCGGAGATGTAAACAATTTTTATTATCTAAAATAATGAATAAACATAATGAGAAAAAGATCAATGTATAAAATTAAAGATTGTACATCGATCTTTTTGCGAGTCATATGTCTATTTCACCCGTTGCCCCGTAGGCTTGTTAATTAATTTGGCTGGTCAGGCATTTTGACTCTCCAGCCGAGCCAAAATGTTCAGACCAGGAAAGAATTGACTTCAGACGTACATGCTTTGAATAAAATAAAATAAACTTTGATTTGAAAGATTCAATATGCAGTCTTTGGAATTAGACCGACTATTCACATACTCCTACTACGTACTCTGTACTTACGTTGAGGAATCTAAATTCAGACAAAAACAGTGACCGGCCAGTATGTAAGTACTACTACACTATTTGTTCATTTTTCATCTAGTGATGATTGAGAGATGTGTCAAACAAATGACCGTGATCAAGAGAAGTACTTGCAGTCAGGTGAAAATTTAATGGACCTAATCCAAGTCATTACAAATCCTAGCTAGCTAGGCACACAAAGCAACCTTATGCTTGGAAATTGAAGCAGTACATGATAGTTGATGGTGGCAGAGTCTTGGCATGCCTACTAATCCTTTCGGTAAAATTTGACGGCTGCAGGCAGCAGACCATTGAAGCACAACTGGGATGAAAACGGTACGGAAACGAAGTGAAACCATCTTTATCGTTTTCGTTTTCATATTTTTTTCGGAATCAGAATCGAAAACCCCGGATACGAAAACGGAATCAAATATTATCGAAACCGAAAACGAAGCAAAAATGAATCGGCGCGAATACGGTGACTAAAATTTATCGAAATAAAAAACCCCTCAAACTGATAAATCCAATTCTCAAGTCTCAACGGTCAACAATTCATCATAAAACATAATCATATAAGTTTAATTGTTAAGTCTCAAACAGTACATCACAAAACACAATCTATGAAATAAATTATCTATATTTAAGAGAGTAATGTTGTTGATAAATCCTAATGCAGAAAAAAAATTCTTATGCAACTTCATATTTGCATAACAAATATTTTTTTAAAAAAAATAAAAGCCAAACACCATGGTATTCACTATTCAGTACTTAAAAAAAGAATCCAGGGTATTTCAGTCACAAAATTTTCGGAAATTCCGAGGAAATTTCTGGAAAGTTTCCGACCGATTCCGAGTTCCGACAGAAACTGCCCTTATCATTTTCGATTCATTTTCCGAGAAAATATTTCCAAATTAATTTCCGTTTCTGAAAAAAAAACCAACCGTCAGATTCCGTTTTCGAAAATAGGTCTGGAATCCGGAAAGTTTCCGTACTATTTTCACCCCTGCAACTGAGTGAACTGACTACTGTACTAAGGTTTGTAAATTGTGATACTGCATCCGTTCCAAAATTGTGTATACAGTAGTACCTTTTGGATATTTATGCTATACACTATACAGTTTCTAATACACGCACCTGATCATTAATCCCTACATTTTGATTATTTACTATGTACTAGTATATCGCTTGGTTAAAAAAAAATAGAGAAATAATTTTCAAGTGTTCTGATCAAGTCAAAGTAAAATTAGCTTGGTTCGTTCGCATGAAATTGTAAAGTATGGCTGCAGTCGAGACTCGCGAGAGTACGAATGCATGACTACCGTGTAGAAGCAGTAGCACAGGCTTGAGTAGTCACAGGTTTTTGGTGTTTGTTGGTGATCGATGCACTCTACACGTACGACGAGTCACTGCCGCTGCGTGAATTGAAATTTTGAATCGCGGTGGCCTATCGAGCAGGGCACGACTGCTTCTACCTCTACTTGTGCTCCCTATAGTTCCTCACCGGCAAGAACGGAACGAGAGACAAAACGAAACGACTTCAAAAGTTCAAACCAAACTCTGCCAATTCTGAGGCGACATACGTGCGGAGAAGATGGGCATCAAGCACCGCAGCTTCACCGGAATTAGCCGGGATGATTGCAAAGCGACGTGTTTCGGCTACGTTCTTGGAACAAACGGGTGCTCGTGTGTTGATTAATTTGGTTCGAGGAGTAGCAGATCGCAAGTACGCACGGCACGGCACGACCACTACTCCTGCTCGCTCTGTCCCATTAAGAAAAATACTTTTTTTTTAGTTTTTACTCCCTCCTCCGTCCTAAAATAAAATAAATGCAGTTTTGCACTATTCACGTACAACGTTTGACCGTTCGTCCTATTTAATTTTTTTTTCTATGATTAGTATTTTTATTGCTATTAGATGATAAAATATGAATAGTACTTTATGTGTGACTAAATATTTTTAATTTTTTCACAAAAATTTCAAATAAGACGGGCGGTCAAACGTTGGGCACGAATATCTATGGTTGCACTTATTTTGGGACAGATGTAGTATATAATGTTTTGACACTGTCTTATTTGAAAATTTTTATGATTAGTATTTTTATTATTATTAAATGATAAAACATGAAAATGTTTGATTTATCTTCTTCAATTTTTCCATATTTTTTAAAATAAGGTGGTCAGTCAAACGGTGCAATGCATATAAACGTTTCTTTGTGGGATGGAAGAGTATAGTGCAACGAATGGCCAAGGGACCTGAAAACCGAAACGATCAAGGTCGCAGGGTTGAAACTTGAAAGGAGAGGCTGAAATTTGGAGTACACCTGGCAGATCCACCACGGCGTATTTGTTTCAGCGGTCCATTCAGACGTCCAACACCAACAGCACGTTGGCCGCTTACCAGGACTCCAGGAGATTTTGCAGATGTCAACACTTTGTTACAGCATGATTAGAATTCTATGGAATCCCATGTTCTTGATGCAGGTTAGCAGGCTTTTACGTTAAGCAGCACAGAAATACTAGTAACATGATCTTTATGTCACTTTGGAAGATGCATTTGAGACAAAAGAAAAAAAAAGAAGAAAATATCAAGTCAGGTTATCAAATTTAAAAAGATTGACGGTGGCATATAAAACCTGTTATTGACACCTGTGCTGTAGGTGTTCGACCAGAAGAAGAACACGACTGGAAAATAGCAATTCAAACTATAGTACTAATCAAGACTGAAGATTAAAAACTTGACCTATTCATATGTCTGTTTAGAAATTGAGGTGGAAGGTCTGACACTGGCAGTTTCCAAAGGACATTTTCAGCAGCGCAATGACAATTTATTTACAAAGGCAAACATTCCTAACCTTAATCAGCTAAAATCCTTCAGCCTTCTCTTCAGAACATCCATGGACCTCTTGCGAGCATCCTGCTTGTTGCGGTTTGAAAGGCTTCCAAACAACCCATCTGCAAAATCCTTGTACTTGTCACAAACGATGGCAACCTTCTTGTAGTCTAATGACCCATAGTTCCTCCCCCTTATCACTGGATTCATGAAATTCTCTGGCTGGCTGCTAAGGAGGAGATTGACTAGCTGCCTTATTTCAACCAAACAATCGGCGAATGTTGTTTCCTTACCCAAATCCACCAAACCGGTCCTATAAAATTTCTCTTCCGCGAATGCCTCCAGTAATTTCAAGTCAATGTCAAGGCCCATAACTGCATTGACAGTGAACCTTTTCACGCCTTCGTTAAGAAGTGTTGTCATGATAGAGTCCGAGATGTGGCTCATTGCACCAGAAACCATCTTGTATAGAGCTTCTAGCGGTAAAATCTCCTGCGCTGTTGATACTAGCGTTTCAAGATAGATAAGGACCTCATTCATATATTCATTTGGATTATCTGGGGCTTCCTCCACTATCCAGTTGACATCGTCCAAGAGCACCATAAATTCATCAATCTTGAAATTGGCCAAATTTATCAAAGAGTTATATGCTGCATTCTGGGAGGCTTTTAAGACAGCTTTTGCAGTCAAACCGGAATGAGATCTCTGCGCAATACGCTTTGGAATGCCACACAGTTGAGCAGAATACAAGAGGAACATATCGCAGGATTGCTCAAGAACAGAAATATTTCCTGCAAGTTGCATCATCTGTGACATGGCTAACGAGCGAGCATAAACCATGTTCAGAAGACTATCATTTAACACCTCAATCAATAGCCTGTCTAGGTAACCCTTCACAATTTCATAGATGTTTGTGCGAGCACTGTAAGAAAAATAGCTGACAGAATCCCCAATGAAGGACCGGACGATACGACAAATATCTGGAACACCAGAGGAAAATGGAGCCACATATGGAAACTCCGGGACTACATCATCAGGTTCAAAATGGAATGCCGTGACATTCATGTTATACTCATATTCCTTCTTTATAATCATCTGCTCATATGAGTCATTAGCAAGGATATCATCTATCTGCTTTCGACTCTCAATAAGAAGCAACTGGTGGTATTTGTCTTTGTATTTCGCAATGACTTGAATCAATTGTGCGATTTGATAGCCATACTTACTAACAGTTGTGCCTAACAAAGTGACATAATCTTTAACGAGGAGGAGGTGGCTGGCTATACTCATGCGAGCAAATTGATCCTCCAGTATAGATGTGATCTTAGCAATAGCAGTCTCCCATGTTGATTCAACTTGGCTTTCAGACAACAAACCATCAGCACTTCGAAGTACACGTTGTTCTACAATGAAAAATCCAGCTACCTGAGCAAGTAAGGGTTGATGGGACTCAAGGAAGGGTTGAGAGGTGGAGATTTGCATGTCCAAGTTGAGCTGCATTAGCCTATTCTTGTAGTAATAATCTCGAAACTTCTCCCCAATACCAAGGCATATGTGCATGTGATGTGCCCGGTACACTGGCGTGAGATCAAAATTTAGTGTTGATTCCTCATCTGTATTCTCCACATCCAAGGTGTACACATGCTCATCAGATCTAGCATCACTATGTGCTTCAGCCTCTCTCTTCCGGGCACGCATTTCCTCATCTTTTTGTCGAGCCATAGAGGCCTGACTTATTGAGACCTGTCCAATCTGCTTAGCCATCCTTCTGATATGAACAAGCCAATCATTAAACTCACTGCAAACTTTCTTCTCAATGTGCATCTTTATCAATGGTATATGTTTTGCAACTACCTTCTTCAGAAGTTTCAAAGGAATATTTTTCAAGTAGCCCTTCTCGATCGTGTCGAGAGTCTTAAGCGCAGGATGAAACTTAGCTTCTGCAATATAACCATTGCATGCCATGCATAAACTGATGACTTTCACACATATCTTCAACGTTGTTATGGCTTCTCCTATGTTTTTCTTAATCGAATATAACTCAAAAAGCTCATCAAGATTCAACAATGTGGCACTAGAAACCTTTTGCAGGTGTATGTTCTCACCAGTTAGCATGCCCTTTAGCTCATCAGCATCAACCAACACACCACGTAGTTCATCGACGGCCAGGATGAAATCCTCGTAATGAAGTCTACAAAGCTCTTCGATCTCAACTTCCTTTTTCTTTACAATACTCCTGAGGTTTTGCATGAGAGCTTCAGGTTTACCAGAATCAAATCCATGCCGAATGATAGGGCCCAAATCTTCACCATTTGAGATAAATAAAGCAAGGCCAAGACCAAGACCTCCATCTCCACTTTCTATTACACTCCTCTTCTTTGGCTGAGCAGTCATGATTCAACTGTAAAATGAAAGCAACATAGGTAATAAAGTTCAGTAGAGGTTGGAAATTAAAGGTCATATGATAAGTACTATCAATTATAATGTGTAGCATGTTCAGACAAAATAAAGCAACGGTCAGGCCAGCAGAAGAGCCTATTTGTTACTTCCTTCTTTTAACAACATTGTCATGCTTTTTTTTTTAAGGTTAACATTGTCATGCTCATCACGCAGACAGATCATGTTGAGTTCAGCATTACTTTGAACTAAACAAGCATGAAGATCACTATACAGTCACTAAACTAGTATGGAGGTCGTCCTACAGATGGTGATATTCTTGTCATATGAAATCCTAAATATGAGTACATAATATGTACAGTCCACATTACAGAAATAGATACGGATCAGCACTAATTTCGTGCATCCTCCCTTCCTTGGCATTTGGCAGTAAGGAGCTTGGCACCTTAACATTGCCCCAGGAAATTTTGGAAAGATCTCCATCATGGCGCTGCAACTAATTGGCAACGAAAATGGATGCAACAGGAGAATTTCATAGAGAAACGCAAGAATTGAATTTAAAAAATCACTTCCCAAAAGTATGGAAGAGAGGACATTGTACAAACAGAATATACAGGGAGATGAATAGAGAATCTGGAGAGGGGTGGGACTAAAACTAAACTCAATGTGATTATGCATGGCTAATTTAAACCATTATTGCTATTACTGTAACATGACAGCATGTAAATCATTGTCACTATCATCAATGGTCAATCCCCATACCAATTAAGAAAATACCATACACTCAACACCACCAATCAATTGAAATGACACCGCATATCAAAGTAACCATGAAGTATCATCTTCGAAATTGAACGTAACTTGATTTATTCAGATTATATAGGTTCGAATTAACAAGAGAAGACAGGAGGGATTACAAATTACCTGCTTGTGACACGGGAATCGTGCAGAGGTTCTCAACGAGCAAGCGATCAAACCCAAACAGAAAAGAACAGAGAGAAAAGAGTGGTGTGGGGAATATCAAACGACGATGAAAGAAAGAATCACAGGGCAATAGAAAGAGATCCTTGTTATCACCCAAGGCGCAGAGGGAAGCAAAACCAATGCAAGAACAGAGAGCTATCCTATGAAATTGGCTGTGGCTCTCTCTCTCTCTCTCTCTCGCTCTGCATGCATGAAATGGAATACAAAAATAGTGAGTTAGCCGTGCCTCTCTCCGCGGCAGATCTTGACTCCTTAATAGCAGGAACTAAGGGTGAGTTTGAGAGATAGGGGATTGAGAAGATTGGGAAGATACGCAAAATGAGATAAGCCATTAGCGCATATATTTTACTATAGAAAATTTTTAAAAAAACGCATCGTTTAGTAGTTTGGGGAGTGTGCGCGGAAAACGTGTTTTCTCACCCTATCTCACACAAACGAACACAGCCTAAATAACGTTGTCAGATGCAGTTTTTTTTTTTTTTTTGACTAACCTGTGATGTCGCCACCTATCTAGCTGATGACGCGGATCTCAAAAAACCGCCATCCCCATCCGTTCCACCATCCATGGGTGAGGGTGAGGTCGCCGCTGCTCACCGGACTACCCTGGGGCTCGCGCCCACTCGCCGGGGCGCCGCTCCTCTGCGGTCGCAGGCGTGAGGACCCAAACCATGGCGCCGCTGCTCCTCGCTCGCCCGCGGCACATCGCGCTCGCTGGACCAAAACACGCCACCTGCCGCCGCCGCCGCCCGCGGCCGGCGCTTCCTCAGATCTCCGAGCGCACCGGATGCCGCCGCCGCTCCCCCGAGCGCTCCGGCTCGTCGTCTGCTGGTAAACTCGGCGTCGGCGTGCCTCTCTAGGATTTACCGCAGTTGAGCGTTAGATTAAATCTCAGCCACAAATCCAAGTTGGGACGGCTGTGATTCTCCGGATATTTCTTTGCATAAGGCGTGGCGTAGGAAGGGTAATTTTATCATCCTACTCCGATTCCTAGTAGTCTCCTAGTGCAAGTTAAATCGAGAAACTGTAAGAACCCAACGGCCCATATTAATGCCCACCGATCCCTCTGTCTCGATCCCACCTCCTTCGTCTCCGCCGCCTTTTACTTGCTCGTCGCGTCTCTCTCAACGTTCATCTGCTCGAGGTGCATACATGTGATTTGCTTTGCTCCTTTTTCTTTTATTGCCCCTGATTCTGATTCTCATATGAAGACTTGTCGATCTAAGCTCATATTTTTTAGATAATAAAAATAATTTACATCTCCGATCTCTGCTATAAGACACACAACCAATAAATTTTAGTACTTGAAAATAAAGCCGTAAAGTGATGGGATAAAACCCCCAGCTCCCTTTAAACAAGTTTAACTAAAAACATCCCAAAATCATAGACTACTAGTAGATTCTAGCACGTCATACAGTAGGTACTACCTCATCCAAAATAGAATAAAAACCCCTTGGCTACCGATTCTAAAAATATAGCACCACTACACAATACTAGGATGATTTAAGTTCATGTAGGTGCATACATGCTATTGGGAATGGATTTGGCTATAAGTTGTAGGCGTGGGATTGTGGTGGATTGGTTCTTTTTCCGCAATTAGTTTTGTCGGGTATTATGCTTTTCCGATTTAAGGTAGAGGTAGGATTGGAGATGGATTAATCCTTATTTTACCGCTCATCGTATGCTTTTTCCGGTTTAAGTTGGACCATGAAAGAGGAATTGAATCTTTTTGTGACTTGGTTTCGAATTTCAGGGTGGTTGGAGCATTATGTTGGGGTGGAAGGGAAACTACTTCCCCAACGAAAAGCGGCGACACCTTTATCTTGTACTTGATGACTGGTCACGGGGATACAGCATTCGCAAGATCGATTTGTCGGTTGGCAATGACGGTGATGGGGAGCACAGCATGCCACCGGCCATATTCAGTTTCGAGGCACCCCGTGCTGGTCCCAAGTACTTTGCTGGTGCCTTTGACTCCAAGATTTTGGCAATGCAGCCCGTGGATCCCCAGTTCAGCTTCAATCCCATGGCTGGTATCCCTATCTATGACGTTCGCATGCGGAGCCTGGTGGTTGGCCCTCGGCAAAGGCCGGATCCAGTTGACCCCATCTACATCCCTGTTGGTGGAAGGCTCTTTGCTCTCTCTGTCGGTTCATTTCAGCTGCTCTACCCGCCGCCAGATGACGAGTCTGATGATCAAGAGGAGGAGGAGGACTTTGTATGGGGGTGGCACGCTCTTCCTAATCCTCCATTCCAGCATGAGCATGTCACCTCCTACGCTGTGCACAGGGATGGGCGAACTATCTTTGTCAGCATTGGCGGTGAGTCCTCTGCCACCTTTAGCTTTGACACAGCGGAGTCTGTGAGGAATGGTTGTATGTGGAAGAACCATGGCCAGTGGCAGCTGCCGTTCTCCGGTCGTGCTTACTTCATCGCTGAGTTGGACGCCTGGGTTGGGCTCAGCAGAAAACCTGGCACCACCACCAGTTGGCGCATATGCTCAATGGATGTGATATCTGACGATTGCGAGAATGGCCAGGCGGTGAAATACACCAGGGAGGAACTAGCTACTACTGTGTCTGATCATGAGTTGGTCACGGGTGTCACCCTCGTTAGCATGGGTGGTGGAAGCAAATTCTGCGTCGTGGAGTGCTGCCTGGATCACTCAGTCTCGGTGCCGTTTATTCAATTGGTGACATTTTCTATGATGTATGGTAAGAATGGAGAACTTACGACTGGCAATAGCCGCCAATTTCGAGAGTACAAAAACATTCCTCAAGGAGTTAGTAGTGAAATGCTTGAGAATCCTGTGGCATTCTGGATGTAGAGACCTTGATAATGTTTTATACTGGTACCCTAGCGTGTCTGGAACTCTGAATCCATGCTACTTTATAAGAGCAAGTTTAATAGTGTAGCCAAATACTAGCTCCAAATCATTTATAGTCAATTTAATAGCCAATAGTTACGTATAAACATATACTACACTATTGATATCTGGTCTCACCTGTCATACACACATTGCGTCTTGCAGTTCGTGCTGCAGATGGCTATAAATATGTAGCCCGTTGCTCTTCTCTCTATTCTTTTATCTTCTCGATATATGTTTATAGCTAAGTTATAATCAGCTATTGTACTTGCTCTAAATCTGAGGAAATTTAACTATTTGCCACTCTTGTGACATGGCAATTAACGATTTGCCACACCGTGTTTATGACATGTGGGCCCTCATGTGTCTATGACATGTAGGTCTAGTGGCAAATCGTTAAGCACCACTCGTAAGAGTGGCAAATAGTTAAAAGCCCCCTAAATCTGCATCTCTATCTCTACTTTATTTAGTTAAAAAATGAAACATGTTTGCATCATCCGCCACCGTATGCTTGAGTCATTTGATTTTGCTTCGTGTTCACCTTGCGCGTCCACAACCTCCATCCGATTCTTATCAATCAAAAAGAAAACAGGCATAATCGCACCCCTAATCGCACCATCGAGTAGAGAGGGGACGGCACAAGCTGGTGGACTCGCACCCCTAATCGCCAGTAACTTCCAGCAAACGGGCATATCATCATACAGACAGAAAATAACTCAAAAAGAAATATGCATCTTTTGCTGCAAAATTTCAACATATTAGGAAATGCTAGCACAGATATGATGTAAAATTCAGATTAGGCTGAGTTGTACTACCAAAATAATATTTCTTTTTTTTCTTACAAAATTTCCAGGCTGTGGTACTCACATGGTGCAGCACTTATTTCAACCAAGAGAAGGAAAACAGCAGCTAATAGTGTATCACCGTGTTCAAGCTACAATAGATGCAAAAAGGGGATCAGAGAATGCCAGTCAGCGCTATGATACAAGTTTGCTGGCTTCCTGTCATGGGTTTCCTTTCCGTGGATACCGCTACAAAAAAAAATTGTCCGCCCAGTGTAAATCAGCTGCTCGGAAGTAGAGAAGTCCCTCTGAGAATGCCTGCAACATAAGCTAGATAAGAGATTATGATGACGCTGAACCAATGCACATTCCGTGGATGCTTACAATGAAAGATATCTGAATACAGATTTGAACTTATGTGATTCTGCCTAACAAAGCAAATAAATATAGGTCCGAAATATCCTCCCACATTAACAACAAAATATTCAGTATTCAAACAAGTAGATAGAATTCCAGCAAAAAGAGGGGGAGAGAGGGGATAGAAGCCATTCAATTAGTCAAAGATGTCACTTGACTGAATTTTGCTACATCTTGGCATGTGAAACAACCATAAATCAACACTACATTTGAACTATACTGGGCAGTGGGAACAAGATATTATTGTGAAGTAAACAAGTTATGGACAATACTATCATTGCTCCACGATCAAATGTGCATTGCAAAGACCAAGAGCAAGTGCCAGTGTAAATGGACTGTACTTACCTCCTATCTGTACTAGTTCTGAGTAACAACCTTATCTTTAGATTCTACCTGGAATGCAGAAGGGATAACATGTAAGCACAATATAAACAAATAGCTACAGGCAATTCTAGTTGAAAATGGATAGTTTTAAGAAAATACTATCATTGTTTAAAGGGTATTATCCTGCACCTCATCTGTTGTGCTTCTCCGAACTTTTCTAGTTGCATTTCTCATTGTGACAAATTCCTCTGCAGATGTTGGGTGAATGCCAATAGTGGCATCAAAATCTTGCTTTGTCAGCCCAGCTTTAACAGCAATTGCAACTCCCTGTCAAAATGTAGTAAATTCATCAGCAGTATGTCAGGAATAAAGCTGAAATGGAGAGTAAGAATATAAAACAATGCAGACCTGAATTATCTCAGGTGCGTCTTCACCACACATGTGTACTCCTACAACTTTGTTTGTTGTAGCACACACAATGAGTTTCATGAAAATGCGATCAGGTAATCCAGAGAGAGTTGCCCTAAGTGGCCTGAAGTTTGCTGTATAGATATCAACATCTCCATACTCCTCAATAGCCTGCACAAAATACAAATTTAATTGACTTTCTTTTGTGCATCACTTTATATAGATGCGCGTCGTATGCTATACCTGCTCTTCAGTAAGACCAACTTGTCCGATGGGTGGTTGGGAGAAAACGGCAGATGGTACAGCTCTGTCAAATTTGTGCAATTCACAATCAAGGAGCATCCAATGGAACAACAATAACCAAAACCAAATAAAATTTAACTGATAAACAGTGAAATACTGAAATGAATCAATAATTTCAGTACAAAGTCAGTCATGGCCTCCTAGGAGCTTCAAGGACTACTAGAACACATCACAAAAACAAGAACATCACGACAAATGATCAATAACAAGATAATTCTAGATAAGCAAGAAATCATCCAAACTAATCTGTATTAGCATATCAAACATGGAAGTGGAAGAATGGGGTATTTACTCCTCAAAATGTTCCACTAGAGATTACTGCAAGCATAAAAATACACAGGAATACTAGCATGTTTAAACAAGGAAATAGAGGTTATATCTGCAATCAAGCTATTCAAGCCCATCTCCTGCAAATTATACATTAGGATGTGACCAAGTAACAAAGTTCTCTAATGAAATGCAACAGAGATACCCGTTCACTGTCAAAAATATGCAGCTCAAGTGTACACTGTACAGCAACAACAAACATTCCCTCAAACATGCGATGTAACTGAGGTATTCTTGATAGGGATATCCTACATACCTGTAATCTGGTTTGGTAGGTTCATCACCAAACACTGTTTTTGCAAATGCACCACCTTCCATAAGTGCAACTGGTGTCAGGTTGACCCTATCAGTAACATCTCCCACTGCCCAAATTGAATCAACTGAGGTTCGAGAATACTCATCAACCTAGCAAACATAAATACAGTGCAGAAGCTCAACATGTTAAAGAGTCGCAAAGCTGAGAAACTCGAAGTCAAGTATCACTTGATTGATTGCTTAACCTACCATTATTGCTCCGTTCTTGTCCAATTTCACCCCAACCTCCTCTAGTCCAAGGTTCTACAAGTTAAAGAACAACATCAGCAACAAAGGATGGATGCATCAACAAATGGAGATGCAAGATCTAACAAAGTGAAAACAAAAGGCGCATATGGTGCAGACCTTTGTGTTTGGTTTACGACCTGTTGCGAACATAACATGTGAGAACCCACCAATAGTTTCTTTGTTTGTCTTCAGAGATAGCAAACCATCATTTGATTTGGTTATAGCTTGAGGACTCTGTTCAGTATGAAATGTGATGCCCCTTAGAGACATCTGTTCAGCGATGAAATCTCTGACCTGCAAATCCACAACCGACAAAAATAACTCCAGTGAACAGATCACTTCATCTACTGTGAATATGATTTTGTTGTTCCCAATATTTGCTCACCTCTTCATCAAACCCTCTTAAAACTTTCTTCTGCCGAATAAACACATGTACCTCACTTTTTAAGCCATTGAAAATTCCAGCAAACTCCAGAGCAATATATCCACCTCCCACTATTGCAATTTTCTCAGGTTTTGAAGGTAGATCCAGTGCAGCATCAGAATCTATAACATGCTCTATTCCTGGGATATTTGGCATCGATGGTCGCCCACCAACAGCTATAAGTATGTTCCTAGCAGTGTAGAGCTTTCCATCTACACTTACAGTATGTGGATCAACTATCTGTACTAAGTAAACAAAGTTACATCAACAGCTGCACCTTACCATAGTATTTGTTTAGGGAAACAGTCTATTCAAAGTTTAACTTGATTTACGAACATCACCCAACCTTTCCACGGCCTTCAATTAGAGTAACTCCTGAGTTGTTTAAAATATTCTTGTAAATGCCAACAAGGCGCTGCAGCTCTGTATTTTTGTTGGCAATCAGAGTGTTCCAGTCATGCTTTGGATCAGTTTCATACACCCACCCAAAGCCATGAGACTCTTCAAACTCATGAGAGTACTTGGATCCATACACTAATAATTTCTTTGGAACACACCCACGAAGCACACATCTGTGACAAAAACAAATAACAGTTCTTATGCATATGCATATCCTTCTAGGCACTGGTATTACAGCAAGGTGGTAGCTATTAAAAGCATGCCCATCTTTTAGGCTTCATATGCTGGTATGTTATGCCAAACTGCTTACATATTATTGGAAATCTATTGTCTAATATTGTACAGGGTCATTAAAACGCATGGGTTTAGCTCTGGTATTCATAATGATTCAAATTGTAAATCCCAGTAAATACTGAAATAAGCCACATTATGCCGGTATAGCAGCGCAAATCGTGCATTGGAGTCATTGCGTTGTATACATTCAAACAATTTCTTCAATAATACTGAATAAGAAACCATATAAAACCTTGAAACTTGGTGAGAGCGGTAAAGGCAACAAATGGTGCAAATGTAAATTACTTAAAAGTACTAATAATAACAAACAAGTGCATATCACTGGAAACACACATTCCCCACCAGATTTGTGCCTCTAACCCCTAAAATGAGCAAACACCACTGAGATAACAGCCCGTGAGGATGTTCTCACTCAAAAGTACCCCGTTCAAATGCAGTATATGATAGTGAGTAACAATGTACCCAACCACAAAAATTCTCTAGAATGTAGTAACAAAAATGAGTTAGCGAAGCCATTCCTATCACAAAAACATCACAGAACAAAACATCAGCAAAGATGGAACCCGCGACAAAATTGGAAATGATTCCTGGCTAGTCATTCACAAATCACAAGGAAGCGCTCCAATTACGGTGCATGCAAAAAAGTAAAGCCAAAAGCCAACGATGCTAAGTTGCTAACCTTCCTACGAATCAAGGGGAAAATGTGATGAACTAATAGACTAGTCTATATAGTAGCAAGAGAAGCGTCCACTTACGTGCCGCCGACTCCACCGAGGTCGTCCGAGGCGACGGTGGCGAAGGGCATCTCGCAGACGGCGGCGCGGGCGCCGTAGAGCGTGGAGGCGAAGCGCGAGGCCCGGACCCCGCCGCTCCCGGCGCCGATGGTGAAGAGGTCGTAGTCGTACTCCCCCTCGGAGGACGCGCCGTTGGGCGCCGCGGACGCCGAGACGTGGCGGCGCGCGTGGGGGAGGAGGGGAGGTCGCGGGAGCGGGAGCCTCGGGAGGGCAGCGAGGGAGGGGAGGTGGTGGAGGAAGCGGCGGCGGTGGAGGCGGAGGCGGAGGGGGATGGTGCGGGTTAGGGTTTGGAGGGTGGAGGAGCAGGAGAAGGGGAGGGTCGCGGTCGTCGCCATGCCTCTCTCGCGCGGTGCCGCCGCTTTGCTTCCGACTTCCGACAGTGTGGGGCGGAGAGAGGAGAAGCGAAGGCGATGATGTGTGGAGAGTGGAGACGATGAGCTTGTTTGATTCCTTTTTCCGATCGAAGGCGTATTTGCCACTTTACGTATTCGAAGAGTGGAGCTGTAAAGCCTGTATGACTGAAGGCGTCATTCCGGACGATGGTGAATAGTTTGAGGCTTTGGGCCTGTTTGCGGAGGTTCTGCTGCTGGAAATTCTCCTATTAGCTGCTACTGCTAGAAGCTTCCTAAACAGTAAAGATTTTCACTTATAAGCTGTTACTGCTAGAAGCTTCCCAAACAGTAAGGATTTTCACTCAGATTCTGAGAAGCTGTAGATGTAGAATCTAGAAAATAAACTAGAAGCTTCTCACAAACTGTTTCTCAGAATCTTAACCTCCTCTAAATAGGGTCTTTGAGCACTTGTTTGAATATGGAGATTTTAGGAACACTGTTGGTTTGCCTTAATTATTTGATTGGAAGCAAGCCGCCATGTTTCAGTCATCTCTCCTTTTAAAATCCTGCAAATTCCTATGGAGTATCTAAACAGCTCATTTTCTCAATTACTGATCCCAAATAACCATTTTTTTACCCGCAAGAAAAAACTTTTTTTCCATTACACAGCAGACGCACACCTTAAACTTGCTATTTTTTTTTTATTGAAAGCATGTTTACATGTATGTAATATCTATAGAAACCAAGGTTAAATATTTTAATGGTTGGAGTCATACACCATCCATCATACACCACTGGTGCTTTCCCCAAAGGACCTTACTGATCCCAAATGACCCATTGTGGAGTCAGATTGGCAAAGGCTACACCATACTGAAATCTCTGAAACATCCTCTTTCTGTTTACAAAGATAACACAGCGAAACTGTGCAGATTCTCTGTCCCTCCACCTCCAATCAAGTCCTCTTCAACAGATGCGTGACAATCCACAATTTCGCACAACATTGGTACTATCTTGTTTCGTGAAGGAGCAAAGGACCCGCTTAACAGCCAACAGAACGTAACAACAGCAAAAGTTAGAAAACCACCATCCACTTTCATAGTATCATCAAGAAACGATGTACCAACAGAAGGCCAGCAAAACATACGCCGTCACAGCCAGCACCGCGAAGAACGCGGTGTCCGATATCGGCGTCTGCGTCTTCTTCCTGCTGGCCCTCGCCTCCTTGTACAGGACTACGTCCACCATCATCCGGCTGAGGTAGTTCTCCGACGACGGATCGACGTCCTGCTTGCACCGCCTTCTCAGGGAGAGCTCAGGCTGGGCAGGGGTGAACTGGACGTCGAAGATACTCCTCTTACGCAGCAATTCCGTGTCATGGTGATCCGAATTCAGAGCGTCCATGAAGGCAGCGTAGTTGGCCACATGGGACGTGGTGCCCTGGTAGCATTTCTCGAACGCGATCAGGTTCTGCAGCAGCTGGATGCTGGCATCGCTGACCTCCAGCTGAGGGATCCGCACCTTGCCATGGCTGAAGACGATGTCAAGGAAGGTGAAGGGCTCCTGGAAATGGCTCAACGGCCACCAATACCATTGCTGCCTCCTGGTGATGCGAACCCCATCGGTGTCAAGCTTCTTGGCAGGATCAATGCCGGTTCTTGGTGGCTTTGGTGGTGTCTTCATCAGATCACTGTGTAGCTTTGGATTTGGAAGGAGTGACCGGTAGAGCAGCTGCAGAAGGCAGCGCACGTCCTGGCAGCGGATTGGGCGTGTTGATGTGCACATTCCAGCTGGCAGGTACTTGTTGAACATGTTCCTCGCGCATGCCGTCAGGTCAACAGCTTTGTCATGCTCCGTCTTCAGAATGTCAAACAGGATCCTGACAGCGACGAAAGGTATTTGGTTCTCTAGCAGGAGCATGTCGATGGCGACCAGGCTCCATTCCCAGGGTCTCTCCCACTGGAGTGTCTCGTACTCATGATCGAGAAGCCCAGCATCCAGCTTTGTCCAGTATTCATGCTCCGCACCTTTGTTCGGGTCATGCCTCAGCAAGAAATGCAGAATGAAGCAGCCGTCAAACAGCAGCATCATGCCGATTCCCTCCTCTGTCATATCAACTGGTTTTGCGTATAGCTGCTGGAAAGACTTTGTTTTGATTGTCTTTGACAGTCTAAGCAGGAAGGCCTGAACCAAAGGTTCAAGGCTGTGGTTGCTACGCTCCAGCAATCTGTTGACACACCAGTGCTTATGTTGTTCCATTCGCCTGAAGCTTGGTGAATTTCTCCCTGAATGGAAGTAGGGACCGATGCAGACAGCCTTAGGATGGTAAGCCTCTGGGTCGCGCAACCGAGTTTCTTCAGGGATACGGGTGATACCATTTTCATATGAAGAACACAGCGGTACTTCACAGCTCCGGGGAGTTGTTAAGCCTGAAGTTTCATCGGTATCCCCATTTGCACTCGCTGTCATCTTCCTCATCCTTGTGTTCTGCCCTGCATGCATGAATGTACAGATGCAAGTAATTACAGGTGAGAAATAAGGAAAAACCGAAGACAACAAAGAACTCACCTCTTGGTTGCTCTGGAGAAGACATCTCATGAAGCCAAATCAGAAGATTTCCCGTAGTTGATGGTGCACGAAGAAACAATCTGAAGAAAACTTTTAGTAGTGATGGAGAAGAATGTCTCCTACAAACAACAAGAAGGTTGCCTCCCACTTGATCAAATCAAACTCAAAAGAATAGTTATATATGGTTTTATTCAATAGTCAAAAGGCAACATCAAAGAACTTTCCTTTCCATTTCTTTATGCAAGATTGCTACATCAGACAAGTTGACTATGTGAATCAACTATGTTTACAATAAACAGAAAAGATTCTGCAGTTTAGCTGCAGATAAATAAAAGAAAAGCTCAAAAGGTTCTACAGCTATTAAGGCATATATGATATTTTACTAAATGGCCTTTATGACTTTTTTTTTATTTCCCTTTGAACCCAGGGGAAAGAATGATTAACATCTAACGTGATACAAGACCTCATCATAATAGATGAAGCTACTGAAATTTCAGCAGAACATCAAGCTGGAAATTTTATGTGGAAGTGTCTCCACCCCTTACAACTGGCTGTTCACCTTCAAACTCAGATATCACAATGAGTTGATCTGTCATTTCAAAAGAAAGTAGCTCCAACTTGTTCGTAGGATTTATATACTGCATGGCATACAAAATATAAATTAGTTGGTGGTTATTAACAACACTTGATTCATGGACTGCTATTCACAACGCCAAAAGAACCTCATGTCAATACAAATCAGGTCCATAAAGCTAGATGGCAAAGTTAAGAAGGACCTGATCTTAACAAGGTCTTATGTACTTCGAAAATATCACACCCTTATAAGGCTACAGAATAACATAGAGAATCTTAACCTGCTTCTTGCCCTTGACATAGCCAACCGCAACTTCACGACGCAAAATCGCCCTTTCAGTGAGCTCTGAAAATGATATCTTCTCCCCTTCTTTCATGTAGAATCCTATTTCCTAGAAAATGTGCAGCAAAAAAGTTCCTTGAACTATCACAAAAATACAAGAATTGGTCAGAAACACCGATTGTGCTCATATTACCTTGATGTAGATCTCATCTCCTTCAGCGTTCAGAATATCCTTCCATACTTCATTCAACTCACTACTTCCCGCAACTACATCACATTTTCTTTTATCATGCGATAGATTTCAGAGAAAATAAAATAACCAAGATTGATTAAAAAAAAAACTAACCCTGTGCTGTTACAAGGCTCATAACTTCCTCTGCTCCAATAAATGAGAGGGATGGTTTTATTCTAGACATCTGCAAAAAATGAAAGGCTAAAAGATTTGCTTCCAAATTAAAGTAATTTGATGAATTTAGTAATAGCCAACAAGCGAATTCTCACTTGCTTTCCCAGTCCCGTGTCTACAATTTCTGATACAAGATGCTCAACCTGTAGGAACACATTCAGATAAAATACAAAATTCAATTATATTTTATTATTTATAAGAAAACTATTGAACGAGATGACTAGTTGAACCACATCATATTCAAGAAGAAAACAAAATAGCATTGAACCATTCATATTTTATTGAACCATTAGTAATGCAAAACAACAGGATAATGATTTTATGGATTTTAGACAAAGTGTATCACAGTATTCCAAAAGGAAATGTGTTGCATGCTGATGAGAGAATGGAGGTTCACTTAGTGTGTTTCAAGCACTATAAATAATGGGAACTTGAGAAGAACTGACCTTAATGTCATGTTTCTGGCAAATGTTTTCAGCAAGGAGAAGAGTATACGCTAACTGTTTATCAACCTGTGCAGTATCTGCAGAATCCATTAGCAGGTGAACTTCAATTTTATATATAACAGGGAAATAGCATGGTTCTGTTACTGGCATGTAACCCATACCTCCACCTAGCCAGTCTTTGTCAGATATTACGACAACTGAAAACGGAACATTTTGGTCATGCTTCCTGGATTTCTTAAATTTAATTATTGCTTCCTTTAGAGTATCATAGTTCATAGGACATCCCACCTGCATTAATGCTATCGCATAAAAATTAGCGAATAACAATAGTAGAGTTATTTTTCTGCCTGTGCAAGCATATTATCAGTGGACATCAGAGGTTACTATTCACATAGAGGGTTTAAGAGACCTGATGGTTAACTTTAATATTTTTCAGTTGTTTCTGCATGAGGGGGTTGACAATACTGCTCCGCTCTTTAATAGGGGTTTCTGACAATATTTCCTGCACATCAAAGTTAACTTATTAGACATGAACATACGTATGGATGTGGCAATGTAGTCATAAACTCCTCATTTTCTACTGCAGCTAATATTTTTATCGTTCCTATTATCCCTACACATACCAATACACTGCCAGGTCCAAGGTAATTATCATATTCCCGAATCATATCAGTAACTTTTGGCCGCCAACCAACAATAAGCACGTGCTCTCTTGGTCCTAGCGTGTAATCATTGCTCTGCATACAGTCAACCACTTATGAACCCAGTAATCTGACGGAGAGGGGATGGATTTCCATTGGTACATCATTACACTAGCATTTACCTTGGAGAGCGTTTTTGAGGGGCGCTTTCTGATGCTATTTAGCCGTGTTTCATTCACCTCAAGAGCCATACTAGACGATCTTTGTCCCTCTGTTGACTCTGAGTAATGACTTGAATTTTGTGCTCCATTTGGAGAATTTGAGAATGTAGACTGTGCTCTTCTCCTCCAGGAAACAGGAGCAATAAGTAGTAGCTGTGAATTAAAGGAATCAAGAATGTATGACATCATCAGCTACAAAACTCAATTGTCAAGTACTATGTTCTCCTGATTGATGATATAACTGGAAATCACAACCGCATTATCTCTTGTAGGGAATGCAGGTAATTCCAGTGGACCTTTTAGAAGAAAAATGCCTACTAGTAAAATATTCAGAAACTAACAGATACTTAAACTTATGCTAACTTTAGTAATTAACAAGATAAGAACCTAATCAGTATCTATTTAACAGAACAATGGAATAAGCTCACTTTGGTAATGGCTTAGGACGGTGGTTAGAAGGGCTTTAAGACTTCAATGAAAAGATAATTCTTCTGGAATAATATGTTGAGAAATGTTTTCTACTAGTTGTCCTAACATGAAAAGGAAAACAACAACAAAAGAAAGAAAAACTTACTTTGTCTTTCTCTGTCAGCACTTCATCCTCACATGGGTGAAAGTGCATCATTCCAGATCGGAAAATACCACAAACAACTGCCTGGTCATGAACACAAAGCAGAGAAATCACGAAAATGAAGTCATACAGATCTGCAGAGTTTAGACATCCACTTATTTGAAGTAATATTACATCTGGGATCCTACGCCTCACATCCACATACTTCATGCCTACTACTTCCCGAAAGCTGAAAAGGTTGAAGACGTTTTCTGCATGATAAGAACAACATAAGTCACAACCAGATAATGGATCCTATCATTGAGAGCACAAAATAATTCAGGTACTCACGAACCAATTCAATAAAAGGCAAAAGCATGTAAAAAGCAGAAAACAATAATGACAAAATCATAAAACCATTTCAATATGAGACATTTTTTCTGATAGATTAGATGTAAGTGCAACCATTGACATCAGAATTGCAGAATCACACACTAAACTATGGTAAACTATAAGATGGATGCTAGTTCCTGAAGTTCAGAAGAAAGAGAAACAATATGTTTATGTGTGGCTAGAGATGACCCAAGCTAGCCACAAAAGTGATTTTAGAAAAAGGAAAAAATGGCCAGAAATATTGCAAATGGTACAGTACCTAGGAGGCTCAAAACAATTATTTAGTTCATAACCAAAAGTTGGATTGATATATATGATTGGTTCTGAATCAGTCCACAGTTGTACTAATTATGTGCTGAAGTGTAGAACTACAGTTCAATGAACAAAGGAGGCACACCAGGGAGGCACAACTGGTTTTGTGAAACAAACCAGAACGGCAAACGGGTTTATTTGTGTATTCCAAAATTTGACCATGTGAAAACAAAGTTGGTAGTCCTTAAAGATAACTGCAAATCTGCAACCTTCTACATAAAATGTATCAACAAAAATATATCAGTAAGATTAGAACAATACTGTGATAATTAAGCAAGTGCCTGTAGATTTTAATAAGACCCTTTTGCCTAGAACACTGCACAAACAGCTTAGAAGCAGCCATCTCCACCGGCTGCACATTTAAGCCTGTGATTGATTTCAGAAGATCGCATGTGGTTGAGTTAGAAGCCTACAATGATATAAAATGAATACATAAAGGCACAATTTTTTATATTTATATTGATTGCATGAATTTAGGAGGTTGTATATACCTCAACAATGGTAGGAATAGATGCAATTTGTGGAAGAGATTGCAGAGCCAGCAGGGAAAGAAATGCATCTGTATCCACTTCATATCTGGTCAGGTTCAAAAAGATGAGTTCTCAAAAAGGTGGTTTTAAGTACTCAAATTTCAACAGGACTTGTTTTGCAAAAGATCTGCTTGTGTGGAAAAAAAGAAGTCTTTACATATGGCATTTATATTCAACAAATGGCAGACAAGAGATATGTTCAGAGCATCCACTGCTTTCCCTTAGAAAGTTTGTCTTGGTAATCAATTCTGATAAAGTGACTGCCCATTTCAAGTTATCATTCCAAACCTCCAATAAAAAAGGTTGAAGTATCCCATAAGGCCATGATCCCATCCAGTACTAGCACAAATGGAATGTAAGTAACATTGATGAATTGGATAACCTGCTGATTTTAGCTATCTCTACAATCTTAATGCGACATCACAGAGGTTTGTTATGAAACAGAACATGCCCTTCTCTGAAATGATTTCCAGTAAAGAAAATGCAATTTACTCTGTGCTAACCAGAGCAAATTGAAAAGTTTGTGCTGTATGCATACCGTTCATTCTTTGCAGGCAGGATGATTATAGATTTTGCCTTATTTGCTGCTGCTCTCTCAAATGATTTTGTCAAGCTAAGGCTACAGCTGAAATGTAAAAAATTGGAGCTCAATGAGTTTTGATATGTCAAAGAAAGTGTGTCAAGCGTAAATGGATGGAAGCAAATGATCGTGACCCTTTACCTCTTGGTGAAGACGTCAATATGGTTTAAATCTTTGGCAAAGCTATCTCCAAGTTTCTCGATTTGCTTTCTGGGAAGATCAGATAGAAGAAGAATTCTCTGCTTCCTTGACATTGTTCAAAAGAAAGTAATCAGCTGCATTAGAGAATAATATAGATAGGCAAAACCAGAATATTAATTATGTTATCCTTCAATTACCTTGCAGTAGCAGTTCCTAACCTAATTGATGATTCATGGAACTTGTTCAATTGATTCAATATGGATGGCAGATGACTATTGACTCCACAGATGATGATATGATCATCCTCAATGACTTGCTGCTGTGCTCCTTCTCTTACCTTATGCATCTGGATCTGTACACGATAAGGTGGTTATTTACCAGAGGCATGCACTGAATTTAATGTTCTTCACCTCGATTTTGTATATTTTCAAAAAGGTAACTTACTCTAAACTGCTCTGTCGTTGCGCTTAACAAACGAGAATAAAACAATATGCCCCAGATAGCAAGAAAGAACCCAAGCACACGCTCAATGCGCGTCTTTTGCTGTTAAAAGAAAGATCATATTAACATAGATTACATAAAAGGAAAAACATTTATATAAATGGTTATGCTAATTTAATAAGGTTACGCAAACCTAATTTGAGCATATATCTTCAATTGGCAACAGTCACTAGTCTCTACTTACTCTTAGGTGAGTAGATGATGAAATTAGACATGCCCAAGCTTCCCAAAAACATTCCTCTAAACTTTGTTGGTTCTTCCTGAAAAATAAACCAAGATATTTCATCATACTTTTATGCTTGTCCAATTATTACAGAGAGGTTTTTTTAAAACAAGCATACAAATAAAAGGAGCAATGCTAGAGAACGGAGAAGATTAAATTAGAAAAATGCAAACTCTTTAAATAAAAATAACAGACCTGAACTTATGAAACAAGAATCCCCCAACAACAACTAGTGAAAAGCACGTAATCATCAAAGTAATGATAGACCTGCCAAGATAAGTCAGTATAAATTATGAAATTGATTTACCATGAGCTAAAAATATATTATGTGTAAATTAGGAATAGACAAACTTTTCAGGATGTGCAAAAAGTGAAAGTCCAGTAATGCAGTAATCTGCCAAAAGAAGCATGAAAAATACCAAACATATATGTCTAACTGCTCAACTTACAAGGCAATGTTCCGTTCAAGCTGTGAATTGAATAGGTAGTACAAGCGTGAAATGCTCCATCGGATATCAGGCAATTGTGGAAAACTAACATCTAGCTTCAGAGGAACAGGTTTTTTCATAGGATCTGATATGCATGCCAATGGTAAACTTGTAATGTTGTGTGACATCCAAGGGAGAAATTTTGTCATCAACTGCATCTGGCCAATAACAATTTTGTGTAGAACACAGAATGTGATGCTTACAACAGTAACCACGTTGAAGTTTCCCTGAAAAATTATGATTATGAAACATTAAGCAAGACAAAGGTGTTTTTGTATATCATCCGTTGTGAACTGCAGCTGAAGGGAATACTGAATACATATGGAATATATTTCAATTGAAATCGTTGCTTCAAAAGGCACAAATCAACTGCATTATTTCTAATTATCGATTATTCTCATAACGAGGAGTTAGATGAACACGTCATTTAGCAGTCTCTAATCCATATTCCAACAAAGGAAGCATGGACCAATCTAAACCTGGTTGGTCCAGAAAGCAGTAGCTCACAACTGTTATTCGTCAATCATAAGGGCGGGATTTGGTTATTGGGGTCTGATTATGCATTTATGTGTATAATAAAATCATTCTTGTGGCACTGCCAGTGCAGAACCACTTAATTAGATGCTCTGTCAAACAACCCGACTTCACCACCATTGACCTATAAAGCATGTATTCTAAAAAACACATGCCACCTTAATCTACCAATCAAATTTTTGCATTGCCATCATAAAATTCACATGCTGGCCCTGGTGTCTATCATCATCACATCACAATTCAAAAAGAAAAAGAAAATGAATGATGTACCGGAAAAAAAAAATCACCTCAGCAGGAAAGCTTGGGTTATTTCCGGATGTGGAAGTGGTTGGTTGTTCTAGATTACCATTAGTCACCTTCTCATTCATCCCCATTGCTGAGTCGAACACTCTTACTAGTCCTGGCCAACGCAAGCATAGAAATAAAGGCATGCGTAAAAATTAAATTGATAAAATCAGAACATGGTTCGGTCACCAATTTCGTTTAAATAAAGAGAGAAAACGTTAGAAATCCAAATAGCAGACAGGAAACGCGTGCTGCATTTGCCGCCCACGAACCTCGCTTGCTTGGGAGATGGCCCGCGGAGCGGACTCCGACTCCGATTCCACCACCGCGATAAACGCGAACCTGCCCGGGGAACGCATGAAACCTAGGAGGAAAAAGAAAAAAAATCAGAGACGCGGATTCAGATCAGCAGAAGATCAAAAAAACCCTTGTACACATGTAGTAACAGTGTGTACCTGAGGGCCAGTGGCAGCGCGGGGCGGAGGCACCGCCGGGCGGCGGGCGCCCGCGGCGGCGACGAGACGGCGGCGGCGTCGAGCTGCGATCTCATCCCTCCCTCCTCCACCTCTCTCGCTGCTCCACCGGCGGCGAGGTGCTCGCGCGGCGCGGGCGGAAGGACCGAAGCAGTTGAGCGAGAGTGGCAAGCGAAGCGAAGGCGTTTTGACTTGACGAAAAAAGCAGTGGAGTCTCGAAGCAGTGTGGGGGAGGGATGAGGGGGCCAGCGCTGAACACACAAATATTTTTTGTGTGTGATCAGTGGATCAAGCGGATTGGGTTCTCTTTTTTTTTTCTGTGCAAATATTTTTTTTCGTCTTCAGAGTTCATACTGTACAGAAATTCAGCGAAAATGAAAATGAAAAGGATAAGAAGGACGACGACATGTGTAGCCTTGCCTGCATTGCTAAAAAAAAAAAAAAACAAGTACAGTACCAACAAGTTCTAAAATGACAAAAACACATGCCAGCACGTGCCCTTTCCTTCTATTTCTCTATAGACCTGTTTTGTTGGCTGCTACGGTTCGTCAAATTTTAAAGATACTTTTTCTAATCATAAATATTTAATTCAAGAACAAGATTTATCAAACTTCTGCAGTTTGCCCTTGCTAAAAAAAAGATTTAACAAACTTCTAAAAGTTTGACTAAACTACTACTATCTCCATCTTAAAATATAATAAATTTAACTATGTGTTTATTATATTTTGAGATAAAGTAAGTGCTGGAGTATACTCCAACTCAGAGGAGGTGACTGCTAGAAAGGTCAAAAAGGATATATACAAAGACACCTCACATCTGTAGTTCGACACACATAATTTTGTCTGACAATTACTAGAACTGCAGACAAAATCCAATTGTATGAACAGCCTTGTGGAATCTAACAGTGGTAGTAAGATCGCACCAAGCATTCGATCCAACCAATATTGGCACCGAGACCGTACAGAAGGCATCAAAAGCTGGCAGCATAACCAAGTACTAATACATGAACTCGATACAGTAACGAACCATGGAAGGAAACACATCAAAATATAAGCAGTGTGTAAGAAGAGATTAGTAGACGGCTATGCAGTACTTCTACTTGGATTTTCAACGGAGCTTCATCCATAGGTTAATGGAGAAGCAGGTCACCCGGATGAGTTCATCGGTGTCAGTGGAGAAAACGGTTGCAGGAGTTGTTGTTGGGCACGTGCAGACGAAGAACCCCTCTTACAAGGGGCTGTTTCTTTGGGGCTTGGACTTCATGTTATGCTGGCCAAGCCCGAGAGGAGAGCAGAATGTACAAAAGATTGGGAATCTGGGATCGTTGCAGCAAGACATTCTTCCATGATCTTGAGTTGCCTTTGCCCAACATCGACAGCCTTGGTTCCGTTCTCCATTGATTTCTCCTGCAAGGTAGTAACAACCAATGTCTTAAGTCTTAACACAGTCACAGAGGTAGGAGTATTGGTTAGAAGGCTACAGTAGTGCTCACTACAGAAACATAATAACTCAGCTCCATGATTAGTATGGATAAATAAGGGAGCATGATTCACATGCAAGGATAAAAAAATAACATCTGCTGAGGTTTGGAGGACTCATGCTGATAGTCAAAGGTACCATGTTGAGTTGGACTAATGGATCATCTAGTGCAAGGACAACATTTAGGCATAAGGAGATCTCCATTTTTTACTTGAACATAAGGAGATTTCTTGCAGATAGTACAAACAAGCTCTCCTTACCCCCCAAAAAAGGATCATAAATACCCAAAAGAAAAACTAATAAGCTGAATGGACTAACTACATGAGCAGAGAGAAGCATACTACATGCAAAGCTTTTATGCAACTCTTGCAGATTCACATTCATAATTTCATCATTGAACCTGTAATGGTGTCATAGTATACTTCAGAAGAGGGGTTTTGTTGCGGGGATATAATTCAGAGGCTTAACATTCATAAATGAAGTAGGGCCTATCATATGCATTTGTCATGATCAGTTGACCACCATCAGCAGAGTTCTTAATGGTTCCGCACCCATCATCAAATAATCCCTAAATAAACTTTGCCACTGAATGGATGTTGACATAATGATGCAGTATGTCAATTGGGTAATGTTATTTACATTCACATCATTATAAATTATGTTAGTAATCAGATTCTTACAAGCTTAAAATGCCGACCCTAAAACAAAGAAAGATCACTACAGGAAAATGTGGCCCCTTCATACACTATGTTCAGGCTAGTTAATTAGGTCCATCTCACAGAGAACCTCAATCCCTATTGACTCAACTTACAAAACCCTGAATTTGCCTACAATCTTTATCTCTATGACAAATTAAGTTGTTGAAGACATTAAATTATATAAAAGTTTTCAATGCTAAGTTCTTACGAGGCTTGCAACATTTATTCCTGAATGATTCCTACTGCATTTTAGATTTTTAGTTCACTAATCAACTAATACTCCACAGCCAGGAAAATCCAACTGCTCTTCCATGAAGTTCCAATATCAGGTAAATCTGTGGATGATCGAACCCACCTATAAAATCATCTCAAACCTTATCAACTAATAAAGCAGCAATCAATTCGTCTTCCAGATTGGACCATCCTAAACACTCCCAATGCCAACAACACAACCTGCTCATATCATAAGAGGATGGCACAAACAGATACTAAAATGCTGGATAACATCTTCGTATGAGAACAGTAGCCACCATACCAAACCAAACTGCACAAATCGCATTCCGCATCGCAAGCAAACGGAACCCCCCCCCCCCAAACTACAACAACAACAACGCGTGCCTCCCCTCCCAGAACTCCTCTCAATCAATCGGCGGCCAAACCAAAACCATCGCAAAGGAGAGCAACATACCTCGGAGCCGGAGAGGCGGGCGTCACGCGCTCAGATCTCGAAAGTGAGGGGGCGCAGCAGCGGCAGCATTCGATCGGGGACAGCGACGCCGCCTCCGCATCCGCCCCGACGCGAGCCAAGGGCAAGGCGAGATGAACACGAAACCCCAGCAGCAGAAGCGAAGCGACGGTATTAATAAAAACGAGCACAGTAGTACAAATCCCCCTCCCGGATTTCCCGCGCGAACGCGGCGCGGGTGCTTTTACCCTTCTACCCCTCCCCACGGAGAGGATAGCGACGGGCCGGGATGGGGCGGGGTAGATGGGTAAATTCAACCGCCGTCTCGCCGGCGAGGCGACCTCCCCCGCGCTTTTTACCGATGTGCCCCTCGTCGTCGCCATGGAGTATCCGGGGCAGAAGGGTAAATTCCGATTCATCGGCGGCCGCCGCGGAGCGGAGAGGAGAGGTCTTGTCGTCAGGCAGCGGCAGCGGCAGCGGCGGGAGGGGACGGGGTGATTTGAGGTGAGCGAGACGGTGAGCTGGGGTGGCGGTGAGGAGAAGCAAACGGGCTCAGGCTGCGTTCTTTCTTCTTGTCAACAGTGATTACGGAAAACGGAGCGATCCATTAGCACATGATTAATTAAGTATCTGCTATTCTTTTTAAAAAAAATGGACTAATATGATTTTTTTAAGTAACTTTCGTATAGAAACTTTTTACAGAAAAATGCACCGTTTAGTAGTTTGAAAAGCGTGCTAACGGAAAACGATGACGACTAGCCTGAAAAGAACGCAGCCTCAGCTTGACGTGGGAGATGGCAGAGCTAGCTGCAGAGCTTTCAGTAGCCAGCTGAGGTGAACCAGACCAGCAATGATGCGTATCATCCATTGATCACAGGTATCACACCCATCTCATCTTTGAGCACACCATATGTCAGCAGCATCTCCTAGCCCGGAGTATAATCCTGCGGTAGTAGTAGCATTTTCAAGTCAATAATCAGTTACTCCTCTGTCAAAGAAAAAAAAGCAATTTAAGTCAATAATAATCAGTTCCTAATTATGGGATGTATCTAAACAAGGTGGATGTCCAAATACATCTTTTTTTAGACGGAGAAAGTGAAGTGGTACGATCAAAAATAAATGGCAAGTATTGTACAATCTGTTTCAAAGTTGTACTACAAAATGTCAAACAAGATGTTTCACTGTAACGAAAAACTGAGATGCGGCAATGTCAAACAGGTGTTCCATGGTTGCCTGGTTTGGATGTTCAAAATATTTACTCCAAAGACAACAGAAGCAACTTTAGCATTTCTTTTGTTTTTCTTCTACGTATTTCCCTTTTGCCTTAGTAATAAAAAAGAGATAGAGCGTGTACAGAGATTCACACATCGTATCGTATTTAGAACAGGTATAATAGCAGGCTATAAGCCAGCTGCAAACATATTTTAAGTAGATAAATAAGGAGAGAGAATAGCAGCGGGCTACAGATTTATAGCCAGCTGTAGCACGAACTCCAAGACGCAATGTGTGTGTGTGACAGGTGGAACCATGTATTAATAGTGTAGTATGTAACTATTGTATGGATGAGCTATTAGATTGGTTATAGATGAATTGGAGCTACTAGTTGGCTATACTATTAAGGGCCCCTTTGATTCGCAGGATAGGAAAAACACAGGAATAGGAAAAACGCAAGAATTGAAGTAGTAGATTTCTCAAATCCTACAGGAATCAGCAAACACAGGAAAGACAATAGGAGTCCTTTGATAGTGCTATGGGAAAAACAAAGGAAAGTTAACAAAGAGGTCACACCTCTTGCTATTTTTCCTATAAAATGTGAAGCATAGGAATACAATCCTATGGAAAGTTTCATTCCTTTCCAATGAATCAAACAGACATGTAGGAAAGAATCCATAGGGATTTAAATCCTACGAAAATCCTTTGCCAATCCTATGAATCAAGGGGCCCTAAACTTGCTCTTATCCTTCAAATACGTAGCAAGTTGGCAACAGGCGGCAACATCATGAATTGCAGACGTCCACTCAAAGCAGCACCAGGACCCTCAATCCATTTTATCCAATGTCACACTGAGGGCCCCTTTGAATCATAGGAATGAAAAAACGGAGGAATAGAAAAAACATAAGATTCTGACAGGAATGTAAGTGTAAAACAGAGGATTACAAAACACAGGAAAAACATAGAAATGACCGTTTGATTGGATCACAGGAAAAACATAGGAATTTGAGGAGAGATAAAGACTCAAAGGATTTCTTCCATGAGGTTCTACCTCTTGTTAAAATTCCTCCAAAACTTGTATGGGAAGAGGCATTCCATAGGAATTTCATAGGATTCCATAAGGTTCATTCATTTGATTCAAAGGGCTTTGTAGGAAAAATTCCTATAGGAATGAAATCCTCTAAAATTCATATGAATTTCCTTTGAATCAAATGGGGCCTGAAAATGTAACTCCCCATCAATGGCACAGCGTCCCAGTGCACTATGCAGTGATGATATGTGATGACCTCAAAATGGCTTGCTATCTGTTTGCTGAAACTGATTCTACTTCGGAGCGATGTATTATTGCTGAAATATACTGTACATCATACATGTGCAATATATACTACCCTCTATGACTTGGTAAATAGTACTGGCATGCCCAACATAAAATGTTGCTGGTAAGTACTTCGTAGTGTACTATATTACTCCCTCCGTCCCACGATATAAGGGATTTTGAGTTTTTGATTGTAACGTTTAACCACTCGTCTTATTCAAATTTTTTTTGCAAATATAAAAAACGTAAAGTTGTGCTTAAAGTACTGTAGATAATAAAGTAAGTCACAAATAAAATAAATAATAATTTCAAAAAATTTTGAATAAGACGAGTGGTCAATCGTTACAAGCAAAAACTCAAAATCCCTTATATTATGGGACGGAGGGAGTAGGATGTAAATAATCCAAGTTTACTGGAAACCACATATGCCAAAGAATTTAAAATTGTTTGTTGTGTGGTAAGAGTAAGACAAGTGGAGATGAAAATGAACAGAGTCCGTCCTGCTAGCTTGCTTCAAAATTGCACACCTGAGAACTCAAAGCACGCCTAAGTTAGAATGTCTTCTCTAATAAAACCATTGAAACACATGTTTGTCCAAAAACTAGAATGCAGATGCACTTTGCAATCGAATTGATCAGTTTTCATGTTCTTTCGGTTGCAAATCTAACATATACTGACAGCATTCAGTTAAAGCATGGCAGAACTAAAGAATAATACTATCTTGTTTAGGACTAAACCACAGTACTCAATCTCTGTGGATATCTATGTGGCAGAGTTAATGAACTATTGAGTACTGTGGATATCTATTAGTACTAGGTTGAACACCTCAAGAAGCTAAATAGAATAATAACATTTACAAGCAATATGAAGTATGAATAGAAAAACTATTATGGGCATCATATTAACAAAACGCAAAAGAGACCTGCCATTACAGGAAAAAAAATATTTCCAGGTTAGTAATACAGTTAGAAATGAAATACGCTGTGTTGGAGATTGTCAAAATTACTGAATCTTTGCTGTATTTAGATAATCTATAGATGTTCCAGTTAATAACATTAAACCCTGATGTTGGAAAAGTGTGAACCCATGTATTGTGGTACATACAGATTGGGGAATATACAACAAAACTGACCTGCATCCCTGCGGTAATCTAGCCTGATCCATTGGAAATTTCACCACATTCTTAGAGCACCAGTCAAACAGTGGTCATGGGGTTTTCTTTTGAAGATAACACGGTGCTTTCCATCAACTGTTTAGTAGATGGATCATCACCGTGTTGTGTCAACATCGAAGATGTTAAACCAGTTAGACTCGAAATATTTATGAAGTTACATGCTTTCTTGTATTTCTTTTGCCACTCTTGGAATTGCCAATGTCAAAAATATGCGTCCTCAGAGCTGAATTATCACTAATACGTCGAGAAGAACTACCACCTGATCTTACCGCCATGCATAGCATCCTGTACCAGTGGCGCAAGCAATCATGAATTCTATTTTTTCTGAGCAATTCTAACCTTCTAATATCATTATTTGAAACTCCTCGTTTCACTAAAATAATCTTTAGTGCCTTGAATGTTGCATCATTTGGTGGTGTGTTCGATGCCAACATCTTCTGAAATATTTTAAGGGCATCTTCCATTCTTCCACCAGACACATACATTTGTATCACAGAGTTGTAGCTTAATGCCTGAGTTAGAAATCCTGAAGCTTGCATTTTCTTAGAAATCCTGTGGGCTTCATCAAAGCGAGCAATTTTCTTGTACAAGCACACCATCATTGCATGTGAAAATTCATTTGCCTTTCCTGTAACCTTCAAATTCTCAAAAATCTCACGTGCTTCCTTCACCATACAATGGTCACTATAGAGGTCAATCATGCAGTTTGACGCATAAAGGTTGGTGTCTGCATTTAATGATTTGAGAAGCTTGTACGTTTTCTGTGCCTCTGCAAGATACACTACCTTTGTGTAGAGCTTTATCAAAGAATTATATATTGTAGCACTCTCACATAAACCAGCCTTTTTCAACAAACCAAAATATGCTTCAGCTTTCTGGACATCTCCAACTTCAGCATATGCATCAATTAAGATAGAGTAAACATAAGTATCAGCTTGGATCCCTGAAGTGATCATTTCTCTAAACAGGCAGTCGACCATGTGTAAATTGCCATTCTTAGCAAAGCAACTGATTACCACAGAATAAGGAACACAATCAATCAGCAATTTTGCTGCCTGCATCTTTCTCAAATAGTAAAGAGCTTTCTCTGGCAATTTAGCGGTTGACATTAGATGAATCAGAGAACTGTAAGTCAAGTAATCAGGCAAAATGCCATACCTCTCCATGCCATCAGCAATCTCACAAGCCTCGTCAAGCTTCTCTACTAAACCATATGCTTTGATCATAACATTACAAACACAAGTGCTTAGCATCTTCCTTTTTATGCAGCACATAAAAGCCTTCTCTGCAAGGAGTATATGCCCTCTCTCCCCAAATGCATCAATATTTGCAGAAAAGCACTCAGAGTTTAACTGATAATTGAACTTCTCAAACCAACACCACGCTTGCTCAAGCATCCCAGCATCGACATACATCCTCGTCACAGCTGATTGTGTGTATTCATCAATCACCATGTTCCTCTCATACATTTCTTTAAGAAGAGCTTGTGCTTCAGTGACCATGCCCTTGATAGAGTATCCATACAAGAGAGTGCGGCAGCTCACAACATCTGGAAGCAGATTTTCAGCTTTCATCTTCCTGAAATAGTACTCCGCAACATCAATATCATTGATTTCTCTGTATAGCGAGATCAGAATATTATACGTCCTAGTGTCCGGAAGGCACTGAAACTCCTCCATCGTTCTCATCAGAGAAGCTACTTGCTCCATTCTACGGTGTTTACCCCAAACATGAATCATTGTGTTAAATGTAACAACATTTGGTGAAACACCTTCTCTTAACATCTGATTGAATGTATCTGATACTTTCTCAAGTTGCCCAGCCTTTCCATAAGTATCGATCAAGGTGTTGTAAGTATACAAACTATAGCAAGGATGCCCTTTCATCTTTACATCTGACTCCAAGGACCATCTCTTGAAGAAAAGCTCGGCTTTCTCATACTCCCCAGCCTTCTTGTGTACCTGAAGCACAATACTCATAGTAATCTCATCAGGCAGCAACCCACGCTTGATCATGTCGCCAAGCCAAAGCAATGCCATCCTCTCTCTGCCCCCTTTGCAGTGCACATCAATAAGCGTGCCATACGTCGAATTATCCGGCGCAACACCACCGGAATGCATCTCATGCCATAGCCTAGCAACAAGGTCCCATCTCCTCGCCCTCCCAACCGCGCAGAGAACAACATTGTAGTGTATCACATTGACCTCATGGCGCCTCCTCCTGCGAAACCAGTTGAAAATTTCAACCGCTCTCCTCCAATCCTTCTGCTCCTTGAGAATGATTGTCCTCTCCCGGTTGCTCATCGTGTCCCTCCATGGCCGGAGCGCCTCCCCGATATCCTCATTACGCTCAAGCGCCTCCAGCATCGCCGGAATCGACCCGCCATACTTCACCCACCTCCCACTCTTCTTCCTTTCAGCAGCCTGCGTATGAACCGTACATGGAACCACCAAATTGGGGGAAGTCTCGACGTTTCTCGCCGGCGCAGACACTGCGCTGCTCTGGAACGAGAGGTTGCTATCCCTCCAGCGAGCTCCCGGCGCCGCAGCCGCGAGACTCGACGGCGGATTCAGCGGCGGCGCGGTGGCATGGAGGAAGCAATCGCACGGGCTCATCATCTCCCCACCCCCAGCCTTTATCCGCGCCAAGAAAACCACAAATGCACCTCGGCCTCAGCTTCCACGGCTACTCTGGATTACGAGAACCAAATAAGCAAACCAATTCGAGCCAGACCAACCATGGAGAGAATGGAAGAGGAGGCGGAGATGGCACGGCAATTTGGGAGGGAAAAGGCGAAGTACTAGTCGCTTACCCCGGCTCAATCCGGAGAACGACACAGCTCGGAGGCGGAGGAGGAGGCCGACGCTGCTCCTGGTTTGCTACAGGTTGATAGCAGAAAGTGAGGTCGTCGCGGCGGAGGCGGCGGCCGGCGCTCCGGAACCACCGCAGCGGCAGTGGCTGCGTGGGAGCAATGGAGATGGGAGGATAGGACAGGACAGCGTTGGTGGAATCCGTTGCACCGGCTAAAGGGGCTAGTACTCCATTTAGGCCCATTTAGGACAGGTGTCACGGACTCGTGGGCCTTGTCCAGTAGGGAATCTGGGCTAGTAAAGCCCAGTTATATTTTGGGCCCATTTAAGGTCTACGAATATATGCCACTCGTGGTTTCTCTAAAAAGAAGAGAAGTATAGGACCAAGAGTGTTAAGAATTACGTATTCTACCGATCAACGCATAATCAAAGAAACACAAAGTTGTGGAACACTGAAAAAATATACTTTATTTTTTTCTGGATTAGAGTACAAAAAGAGTCGGTGGTGTCTGGGAGGGTTCCGCCTCGTCTTGGAACTTCATGGTCCTATTAACAGGCGGATGAGATTAATAGCTTACACTATAAACTTGCTTACGCCATAAGGTTGATTCTCCTGCAAGCTTGCTTATGTTGCAAGCGTCCTTCTACGATAAGCTATTTTTTTTAAGATATAAGCTTTCTTCCGGCGTAAACTTTCTTCTATAATAGGTATTGCACTCGTGTAGGGGTGATTTTTCGTTTTCGAAGTAGAAAACCCCTGGTCACTAGTTTACGCGGAAAACCGACAAAAACCAATAACTTTTGATCAATACCGTATGGAAACCGGCTAATACAAGTCGGCTTCCACAAACTGAGTATCATCGGTTTTACGAAACCGATCATTTTTCGCAAAAACCAAACAATTTTATGAACCCTGCTCATCTCTTAATTCGTACAACAACAAAAAAGATTCATAACAAAGAGAAAATACTCAAGTTATTGTCGTATATACTCAACCTTTCACACATTTAACACACACGATTGATTAATCAGTATACCTAGACAAAATGCCGCACAAGGAATTATCAGTCCTTCCCTGACACGATACGATGTCCTCATGTCCATGAAACAACACGCGACAGTATTTTTCAGTCCATCCATGACTCGTGACGATTTACACGCAAGTACACATAATTAAGTATGTAGCTTATTCCGGTCGTACGTGCGACGCCGCGTCGTGTCGGTCGCCGTCGCCGCCATTGGCGCCGTCGTCGTCGTCGACGATGGGCACCACCTTGGGCACGTGCACCGGCAGCGCGTCGATGTCCTGCGCCCACGCGCCGGCGTCCCGGCCGGCGCCGCCGTCGACCGTCCTGAGCGCCTTCCAGACGGCGCTGTTGCACTTGAATCCGGAGCCGAACGCGATCTGCCACACCCGGTCGCCGCGCCTGATCCTCCCTTTCGCCTCGCAGTAGGACAGCTCGTACCACAGCGAGCTGCTCGACGTGTTCCCGAACCTGTAGAGCGTCATCCGCGACGGCTCCATGTGCCACGCGCTCAGCTTCAGGCTCCGCTCCAGCTCGTCCAGCACGCCGCGGCCCCCCGCGTGGATGCAGAAGTGGTCGAGCGCCGCGGTGAAGTCCGGGAGGTAGGGCTTGACGCCGGCGGCGTGGCCGAACACGCGGCGGAGCACCACCGTGGCGAGGAACCGGAGCTGCTCCGACAGCGGGAGCACGAGGGGGCCCAGCGTCGTGATGTTGGTGCGCAGCGCGTCGCCGGCGACGGACATGAGCTCCTTGGACAGCGACACGCCGACGTTGCCGGCGCCGTCCTCCTCCTGCGTCACGCACGCGTAGCTCCGGTCGCTGGCGCCGCCGCGGTGGGTGCGCACCGTGTGCATCAGCTGGTACTTGGCGCGCCGCCGCTCGGCGCGCCGGTTGGACAGGAGCACCGCCGCGCCGCCCATCCGGAACAGCGTGTTGGTCACCAGCATCGGCCGGTAGTTGCCCATGTACGCGTTCAGCGTGATGTTCTCCGTGCTCACCACCAACGCGTACGTCTCAGCGTGCACCTGCATGTACACAAACACAAGTCCTGGTTTAGTTCCAAAAAAAATTTTTCTTAAAAACATTATATCGAATTTTTGGAAACATCATGAAGCATTAAATATATATTAAAAAATTAATTACGCAGTTAGGAGGAAATCGCGAGATGAAACTTTTGAGCCTAATTAATCCGCCATTAGCTAGCATATGTGGGTTACATTCGTCTCACGATTTAAATTAGTTTTTTTTCATTCGTGTTCGAAAACCACTTCTAACACCCGGTTAAACATCCTATGTGACATCTAAAAATTTTCATTTTACGTAACTAAACAGATCTAAGTGAAAAACCAGTTGCATGCAGTGATCAGGAAGTGCTGATTTTTTTCTGAAATGGAGTTAAACCATGAAGTGACTAGTGCATGGTAGGTGCAGGTGTTCATTGTTGCCATGTCCTGCGACGGCCTGAGATTTTTCACGTTTCGGTGCTAGCTGTATGTACAGTGCTACCGATCTCGGAGTACTTGGTGGCAGCAGGTAAGGTTGGCAGTAACTGCCACCCAACCACAGTAATTAACTCTCTGGGCTATAGCTGGCCAGTGTTCTGAATCTGAACACAGGAGCGTTCAGATCAGGATCTGTCTTTGGGTGTTGGAAACAGGACAGTGTTACAGTGGTCACATGGAGCAGCCTGAATAATGGGTGGTATGGGAGTATGGGACACAGCCTGAATCGATCTGGGCGTTCTTTCGAATTTCTTCGTAGCACACAGTTTTGATCAAAATATTGGAGATGTGTGTCTACTGCCGCAGAAGCTGTAGTTACGACGATTCTTTATTGTGTTTAGATCCAAAGTTTACATATAAACTTTTAACTTTTTTCATCACATCAACCTGTCATTCACACACAAACTTTTAATCACATCGTTCCAATTTTCAACCAAACTTTCAACTTTACCGTAAACTGAACACAGCTTATATAGTCCATCCGTCTTTAAAAAAAACCCCTCAACTAAGTACCGAGAGGCGTGACATATCACATCCCAATACTCGGTTGAGTTTTTTTACGTAGAAGCTATAGTTACGACGATTCTTTACTATATATTTTCTCTGTCTAAGAAAACTCAATCTAGTACTGGAAAATACTAGGGTGAGTTTTTTTTACGGAGAAAGTAGTGTTAATACTTAAATTGGTAAGTGCCTCCCTATAGATCATTATCATGTTTATAAGGTATCGTATAGTAGTATTAGCTTATAGATATGTAGTACAGGAGTACTGTGGTAGGAATAGTATGGTGGTACGTCTCGGGTGGTCAAATTAATTAAATTCTCATTACGCCCTTCAATTACAAATGGCACCGTCTTGTCAATCTAGCAGTAGTTTGTCTCAGATCCAGCAGCCCATATTCCCGCGCATGCATGGGACCGACCAATTGTATTATGGAATTTAGTCACTATCTATTTCTATCAGCTCTACTGTTTCAGATTAATTGGACTATTCATGTTTCATGGCTTATTGTCCTTTTGAGGAGTAGTACTATCTAAAATGGACTTAACAATGTCCAACTGGACAGTCATGAACTGACCATGTCCTGCTATGTTTACTATAGGTTATTAATGCACACAACAGCCTTAGCAGCCAAAGAAAAACTTATAATCTTGTTAATTAATCAGTATATGGTTATATATATATATATATATGTGGGATACCCATATGGGACTCCATGGTGCCCGGGCTCCAAGGTATAAAACACACAAATTCTCTCAAATTTTTAAAAAATTTTAAATTGTGAGTATATACCTAGGTATATGAATTTGATTCATACATATACCTAACAACAAAACAACTCAAACTTAACTTTATTTCACAATTCATTATTACATACCTAACGAATTATATGTTTGAATGTTATATACCTAGAACCAAAATCTAACAAAAAAAAGTTCAAACTCAGTTCAAACTTGTTTGAACTTGTTAGTAAAGAAGTTAATGTTCATATCTAAACATTTAAAAAAAAATTCATACTCATTCAAATTGGGTATATACTTAATTTGAATCTTGGAGCCCATACTCCATGTAGCACCAATTAATTTACATATATATATATATATGTGTGTGTGTATATATATATATATATGTGTGTGTGTGTGTGTAAGTATACTCTTTTAGCTGTTCTTAATGTAAATAAAAAATGATTTGGTAGAAAACCATACTACTACTACTACTACTATCAATAGATTCATTAATTGTAAAGATTAATAAAGCTATATGCCTTAAAAATTAAATCTAGCCAACAGGGTTGACTCCAGATATACTTAAATATGTTGACCAGAAAAACAAAACAAGGAATCTTTATTACGCACAGACTGGGACGTGTAATATAATCCTATATCCTTGCCTACTCATTGACACAGTTCATATACTGTCAGGATTGCATTACTGGTGTATAATTGCACCCTGCTAGTTATAATTCGTCTATTAGTTCCTGCATGCATGTCCAACGTTGATATGTCATTTCTTTGTTACTATTACGTTCGTGTTTAATTAGCTCATGCACGAACGTTGTACATTTTGCATGGGAGAAGATGTTACAACGGTTGGTTGCGTGCTGATCTGCATGCATGCATGGTGAGTAGTATTAATTTGTACCTGAAGGAGGTGCTTGGCGAGATCAATGGCGATGATGCCGGCGCTGCAGCCCATGCCGCTGAGGTTGTGGGTGACGACGTCGTGGCGGAGGCGGTAGCGGTTCACGACGAGCGAGGTGAAGGACGGCGTGGGGCTGAAGAGGCTGGAGTTGACGATGACGACGCCGACGTCGGCCGGCGGCACGCCGGTCTTGGCGAGCAGCTCGTCGACGGCGCCGAAGACGACGGCCTCCGACTCCTCCCTCGCCGTGCGGAGGCACATGTCGACGGGGAGCGCGAACAGCGACGCCGGGAAGTGGGTCGCCTCGCCGAGCCCCGACCGCTCCATCATCCGCCGCTGGAACGCCATGCTCTCGCCGGTGAAGTCCCCCGCGAGCCCGAACCGGCGGATGGACTCGGCGCGCGTCGCCTCGTGCGACGCCGCCGGCTTGTACCCGGCGAGGTCCACCAGGTACACCGGCCGCGGCCGCGACATGGCGTACGCGTACGCCGCCGCCGCGCAGCACCACGCCACCGCCACCAGCGCCCGCGCGTTCTCCCGCGCCAGCGCGTCCAGCGTCGTCGTGGCGGCGCCGCCGGCGCGCGCCGCGGCGAGCAGCAGCGTGACGGCGAGGATGCGCGGCAGGTGGCGGCCGACGAGGCGGTGGTACAGCGTCCGAGCGTGGTTCCGCGCCGCCTGCGTCACCGTCCTCAACAACTCCCTGCTGTCCATTGTCTCACTCTACCGAGTTCGATCGGGATCGAACAGATTGCGATTAATTTGCGAGACTAGTACGTGTGTGCGCGGTCGAGCTAGCTGCGGTGGCAATGGCGGTGTGTGAGGTTCGAGGGTTGAAGCGCATGGCGGGGATTTATACGAGAGGGGAAGGAGGGGGGGGGGGGGGGGGGGAGTAATAATGGCGGGAAGCTGTGGTTGAGGAGGTAGCGGTTAATTAAGTTGCGGCGCCATGTGGCATGTGCTTTGCCCGTGTACAAGTACATATGCGTCCAAGTAGGAAGAAAAACGAGGCGCCGGTATATGATCTCCCGACCGTGTCACGTAGTCATGTGTAGGCGCAGCCGGGTCATGGACACATGGGTATCGTACTACGTGAATATGGGTCATGGAGTTAACCACGATGTAGCCTCGCGTACGTACTACGCGGGAGATCATGGGACACACTATTACATGTGTGAATAATATAGTTGCTAGTTTGCTACACCTTGCCTAAGGCGAGGTGATTAAATTCTTAGCCATAATTTATCAAGCCTAAGGAAATTTTGCAATAATTTTTTTAGTCATTGACACGTAGGACCCAATTAGTTGGAAAAGATAATATTGCGATAATTGTGGCTACAACCAAACACCTATTAAATTTGTCAGGATGTGGTAAACTGTGTTAAAGTGTGGCTTGCAATCAAACGCATCCTAACAGTACTGACCGGCCGAAGGAAAGCATCTAGCAATACATAGTATCATGATGTTGCTACTTACTCACATGTACTCCCACCGTTTCAAAAAGAAAACTAATCTAGCATTGGAGGTGATATTTTTTTATTAAAATGAATCTGGACAGCTGTTAACAGTGAAATTTGGTAAGCCCGAAGTAGTCATCGGCTTAGAGTCAGCATCGGCTTCGAAGTCCTAAGATTAGCCGATGAGAGTTGTCAAGTCGTCAGTTGTCGGATTCTTGCTATATTCGGTTAAGGAAATTGATCTACTAAAGGGAGCTTATCCAGATGAGACCGAGTTCAAAGAGGATGCGGCATGGCAAGTTATCTATTAATTAGGAATAGTTTGTTAGTTTCCTTTTATCTTTAGGAAAGTGTGTTTAGTGTCCTATAAGAACTTTATCTTTTCCTTTTATCTTTAGGAAAGTTTCTTTCTTATCCGATAAGGACTTGTATCAACCCGTGGGTATAAATATGTACACCCGGGGTCTATGTAATCTATCTTCACGATCAATACAATTCGGCGCATCGCCACCTTTTACCTTTTCTACTTTATTTTATCGTCCGGCGGGACTTGGCACCTGACGCGGGGCTGCATCAGTGTTCGATCTCCGGCTAAGGGGTAAGTCCAATGTTCCGCCGGCCCAGGCAATTGTATCGTTTACGTCGGCGTCGTTCAAGGCTGCATCAGTACATTCGACCTCTTGAATTGCTCTGGTTTGGATGATATATTTGCCTACCTATTTATCATATGTCTATGTTAATCTAGTCTTAGCATATCAATTTAGCTCTATCGACTATCTCTCGCTTTAGGGTTTCTGCCGGTATCAGCTAAATCGCCTTTCTAGATTAGATTAGCCTAGGCATCTACCACCCTGAAAATCAGTCATCGGCTTGATTGTCTAGATATTATGTTTCTTTTCATACTTAGTGCTGCATCAGTTAAGTTTGATCTACTAAGTCGTGCTTAGAACCATAATCTCTAGCCTGCTTATTGATTGCCAATAAGGGTTTCATCGGGGTTTCAGCCGGTGAGTTATCTGGACGTTGCATCGGCTCATGAGGATTGCATATACATATAAGTTGGATTTAGCCAATGACAACAAAGGTTTCATTGTTTAATCTAATCTTGTGGATTTCATGACACCGGACCTCCAGCCGATGTGTGCTTTAACCTTCGGATCGATGCTTATTTATCATATCATTGCTAGCTAATTGGTTTATATTGGATTATATTGTTATTTTATTACATCATCATCAGCCAATTGCCTTTATATCATTATCTACATTGGACATATAGCCGATTGCTTAAACCCTATCGCTATCGGTTGGTATCGGCATCGGCTATTATCGGCTATCGGCTGAAACTACTCCATCGGCTTGTCATCCGATCGGCTATTTTGATCTACTATTTGCATATCTTGTCAGTTGCAGGATCAAACTGACTGGCACGCCCGAATCTCATCAAGATTTGGACCTGCACAGGAGCTAAGCAGATCTCCCAGGCCGGTGTGTTCGATTTTTTCGTCAACAACAGCTCTAACACTAGGTTGTTTTTTATGGAAATGTGGAAGTACATGCCTTTGTATATAGATATTTGTACATGTCTAAAAAAAAATCACCAACGATTTGAGGGGTTTATTTTTTAGTGTTTTGTGTTGATAGGATTATTGTTCACCAGTTTTAATTGAACTGTTGCGCACCTGTCAAGATTTGCAGGATTTAATATGGTAGCTGTAAGTGAAAACGTATACTACGTCACACTCGTAGAACAGCTAGCAGATTATTGTAGCTTCACCGGAAAACCGGTCATATGCTCAACAGTTTTTGGCGTCCAAACACAAGACCGCTATGCATGGCCCCCCCGGTTTCACAATGTTCATATGGATGTTCGATTCTTTAGGCACATGCCAGCCATACGCATGCAGATGAATAGGTGATCAACAGTTGTGAAACTTGCAGTGGTGGTGCTCGGCAAAGTTCACCATTAAAGTTCACCATTAGCAGGGGTCGTCGACGCCGAAACCGCGGCGACCATCAGCGAAGCTAGGGCCCCCATTGCCGAAGCTTGGACCGCACACAGTATCTTGCTCAGGCTGATGGGACGATAATGGAATCAAATTTCTCCGGTGCAGGGTCACATGAATCCTCTTCCCCAGGCCTTCAATGCGCTACTTGCGATCTCCGCGTTTTTTTCCATCCAGGCCCCGCCCCGCCGTCACGCTCCTACTCCCTCCGTACTACCAAAATTTCATTTCATTTGGATACAACGTTTAGGGCCGGGTTTAGTTTCAAACTTATAACTTTTCCATCGCATCAAAATTTTCCTACAACACAAATTTTCAACTTTTCCGTCACATCGTTCTAATTTCAACCAAACTTTTAATTTTGATGTGAATTAAACACAAACGTTTCAAATTTTTTCTTCAAACTTTCAACTTTTTCATCACATAAAAACTTTCCTACACACAAACTTTCCAACTTTTCCATCACATCATTCCAATTTCAACCAAACTTTCAATTTTGATATGAACTAAACACACCCTAACTCTTTGTTTTATCAAAAAATTTTCTACGATTAGTATCTTTTATTAGATCATAAAATACAAATAATACTTTATACGTGACTAATTTTCTCATAAATTTTTTAAATAGGGAGTATATATATCATCGGATAATACCAACAGCTAGGTACGGTACAACATCTTGAATGGCCACTACTACAGAGATTGCTATTGCGCATGTACGCGCTGGCGAGCCAACTCGCGCGCGTTTTGGACGCGCAGGCCCACTGCCCATGCACACGCCCGTCATCCTTCACGTAATTAGCCTCATAATTAGCGTGTGATTAACGACGTGATTAGTGCATGTTTGAGTACATCTATAATTTAAAACTTTCTAACTCAATTTTTAAACATTCGCCTTTAAATTTGAAACTCCCAATTCATATTTAAAAACTTTCAACTCAAATTTTTAAACCTTTTAAGTCAACTTTTGAAAACTTTCAACCCAGATTTGAAAACTTTCGACTCAAGATTTGTTCAAGTTTGAATTTTGAGTTAAAACTTTTAATTCAGATTGTAAAACTTTTAAGTTAAGATTTGAAAGCTTTCAAATCAAAATTGAAAACACGTGAGATAGATTTAAAAAAATCGAAAAGAAAAACGCGCTAAGCCGCTGAGGGGAGGGAGACGTACGCCAAATTTGAAAAAAGGAAAAAAGGAAAACGCGCGCACGGCTCTATTACTAGCGCGTATGCGCGAATTAACAACCCCTACTACTACTCGGTTAGGCCCTGGACGAAGGGCTAAAAACTGATATGGTCTGTAGTTTATTCAGGGTGATTAGCTCGACAAGTCGATCGATCTCTTCTGTGTTTTGGTGTCCTTCTCTGTTCTCTTAATTGGTTACGTCGACTACTCGTCGAGACTGAACAGAAATGTTTCAAGCTGTTCTTGTAGATATAGCCATTGGTATACAGGAACTGACATGATCGTTTCAGCAGATAACTAGATCGACAATGTATCTGAGAGTGACAATTAAACAACGTTCGATGCAATGGATATATAAGAAGTTTAGCAAATCAAAATCCCACAACTATAGCTAGATACGTACAGGTGCCCATATGCTGAACTTAATTTTCTGGGCCATCACGTACATGCAGACTTCCATAATTCCAAAGTGATAATACAACTCTCATCACACACACACGTACGATAGAAAACCTACACAAAACTGCATGCCATCCTTTTCAGAACCCATTCGGCCGGCGCGCCTACACAGAATTCTACAACCAATTCAAAATGGCAAGAATGCATCTTCCCGTACGTAACGTCGCTACTCACTACGCGAAACCGGCCATCCCATGCTCGATCGAGCGCGCGACGCGGGACGCGGGACGGCAAATGCACGCACGAAAACATAAATGCAACCGGCATCCGCGCGCGCGCCATCCACCACCGCCAATCAGGGCGGAATTTCGCGTCGTCGCGCGCGCATCGATCCGCCATGGTCAGCTAGCTCGTTCTCGATCCCCATGTTCCCCTCTTCGATCGATCTTCGCGGCCCGAGACACAGTAAATGCGGCCGCCGGCGGTCGGCGCCACCGCAAGAGAGATAAGAGCCTCGCACGTACGTTGCATGGTCGAACGATATCGATCGATCAGATCCATGGATAGATGATATAGGTCTCAATTTTCATCCGGGCTAGCTCTACAGTAGCCTAGCACTTTGTAGCTAGAGAGGCGTACAGTGTCCTAGTGCTAGTGTGCTACAGTATGTACCAGCGTTGTGCGTTGTGCCATTGATATGCTCCACGTTGAGTGTTTCGTGCGTCAAAGCGCATGCATATGCAGGTAGATTTGCAGCGCGTGCACGGGTCCGTGACGACTTCGTGTTCGTGGC